CAGCCCCTGAATTTTTTTTTTTAATTGGGAAAAAAACTATAGACCTACTTGAATTTATTTCTCCAGATTTCAAAAGGCAGCTTTTAGTCGTAAAGCATAAACAAAATAATAAATTAATGGAAAGGATGTCTTTTTCCCAAAACTTGACCAAAATACTCAGCTTTAACACTGATTAAATTATTGGGCTCAACATGCATCATCTGTACACTAAATAAATCTCAGTTCTTCAGTTTCGTAAGTTGTGTGGACTGGCAATATGCTCTCTGCCACTTTCCTTTAGCAGAGCAGCCTCTAGTGGCTGTCTATTTGTTATCTGTGTGTATCCGGTGGCTATAAATCAGCCAGCTTAGAAAATAGAACCAAGGTCAATTAATCTTAAGACAACCAAGACATCTGTAATAAAAATCAAAATGCACAGCACATCTTATTTCTTAACAAGTCACAGCCTATTACTTTGGGGGTTTGTTTTCAATGACACCAGCTCCAGCTCAATATCTGCAGTTTCTCTGCAACAAGACACAAATCATTATCAACTTGGGTTTCTTTGATAGAAAGCACCATATTATGGTTTGGATTGGCAATGTCCCCCATGGCTCATGTATTGAAGGCTGGTCTTCATTGCAGCAGTGTCCAGAGATGGGGCTTTGGGGAAGGTTGAATCATGAAGGCACTAACCTCATCAATGGGTTAACCCATTGATGAATTCATGGCTGAATGGACTGTGGGAGGTGGGACTTGGTGGAAGGGTGTGGATCCTCTCCTCCTTTGAGTTGCTTCCCTAAGGTGTTATGTCACAGTGATCAAAAGCTGACTGACATACACCGTAACACCACAGTCTTTTAGTGTAACACCCCTAAAAGCAGATCCTAAAAAAACGACATGAGTAAAGGTGGTTCATTCAGGAGCTCAGCCTAGGAAGTACCGAGGGGAAGGCGGGAAAATAGGAGAGAGAAGAAAAGGGTTGTGTGCATCTGGACTGCTTCAAGGGACCCCTGCTGGGAAATGGAATATGCCTCAGAGTTGGTTCATCTGAGAAGCTAAGGGGCTGGGGTGTGTAGGCCCCAGCCCTCAATCATCATTTTTTGAGGTCTCTCCTGGGGCTTTAGCTCCCTGATACTTCCAGCTGGCCCCTTATGTAGGCTGAGCCCACAGGCATAGGTGGAAAAGATCCACAGGCAAAAAGTGAAGAATTTTGCAGCAGGCAGCCATCTGTGCAGAGAGAAATGTCCAGACATATGGATAGCGGCAACAGCGTCGGCGACACTGATCACTCAATTAGTAGAACATTCGTGCAAGGGTGTCCAAGACAAGCGGCAGGCTTGTGGCAAAAGCACTGGTTAATCAGTTGAGTAAAACTCAGTTAAGGGAGGCTTTACTGCACACCAGCAACCTGCTTGAACTTTGAAAAGTCCTGTAGGAATGAACCCTTCTCTCTTCTCTTCTTACTTGGGACCACCTGTGGCCTAAGTCCAAAGATAAAAAGAATTATTTTTCTCAGAGGGAATATCCTATGCAACAAAAATCTTCCTGTGGGGCTGAGGCTGTAGCTCAGTGGCAGAGCGCTTGCCTAGCAGATGTGAGGCACTGGGTTCGATCCTTAGCACCACAACAACTACAAAAAAAAATTTTTTTAAATCTTCTTGGGCAACTTCAGGCAGAAGAATGAGAGAATAATGAGCTGTGTATGGTGCTAAGGAATTATTCCAATGGGAATGGACACAGTAAAAAAAACTATGTGTTTGTGAGATACATACATATATATACGTACATACATATGTACATAAAATACCTCATTGCTTTTTAATTTAATGAAAGAAAAAATAATCAGAAACAAAAGAAATTGCTAAACTTTAAATTAGTTTTTCTTTATTATAAGATTATATCCCAAAACTTTCCTCTAAGGTTAAGAAAAGGAATTATGATCACAATAGCTAACTATGGAACCAACCAAGGTGCCCTTCAACAGATGAATGGATATAGAAAATGTGGCATATATACACAATGGAATATTACTCAGTCATAAAAAAAGAATGAAGTTATGGCATTTGCTGGTAAATGGATGGAAATGAAGACTATCATACTAAGTGATAAGCCAGTCACCAAAAAACAAAGGTTAAATGACACAGTAAGAGGGAAGAATAGAAGTTCATTGGATTAGACAACGGGAATGAAGGGAGGGAGAGGGAATAAGATTAAGAAAGACAGTAGAATGAATGAGACATAATTTTTCTATGTTCATATATGAATACACGACCAGTGTAACTCCACATCACATACCACCACCCTAATGGGAAGTTATACTCCATATTTGTATAATAGTCAAAATATACTTTACTGTCATGTATATCTAAAAAGAACAAACAAAAAATGAAAATTTAAAAAATCTAAAAAAAAAATAAAGGAATTATGAAATCTAGTAAGAGGTTGGTACTCCTGAAGTTCATTAACTAGATCATTCAACTTGAGTTCACATAAATGTTCTTTCCGTCAACAGGTGAAGTCATTAGCATAATGGCATTTCCTCCATCCTCCTCCTGATGTTTGTTAGTTATATTTGAGGTTGTCAAGATATAACAATGCACATTCATCCTTTGGGCCACAATTGCCAATTATGGAAAACCTGCTTTAACATTAATGTGAACACACGGCTTTTCTCAGTCTTTTTGTCACAACCTCTCCATTCCCAAAGGATTTGTTTTAAAGCATCTCTGAGTCGGCTCGAGTTCTTGGTCAAGTGCTTTTTGCTCACAAAGGGCTCTTGAGTACTTTTGAGATTTACTTTTATGCTTGCCCTAATTCTAAGTGGCTGGGAATAATCCTCCCTTCCCACCTTCCTTCCCTGGGAGCTCCTCAGAGACTTTTCTCCCTGTGTTCGGGTGTTGAAGGAGACTGGTGCTAGGTCCACACACTGTAGCCAGAAGATAAAGGGTAAAGCCACACACTTGGTTCGTTGTTCTTCACACCCATTCAGGAATTTGCATACTTCTCAAGGCGGCTTCTGAGGGAAGAGGAGAGGACTTCCTGTGCTGTGGTGTGAGCTTCTGTTTTGTTCCCTGTCCTTCCTTAGCTACCAGTGGTCCCTGGGATGAGTGTTCCCTCAGGTCCGTGTGTTGAAGGCTGGTCCACAGGATGGTGTTATTGGGAGGTGGTGGAACCTTTAGGAGCTAGGGCCTTGTTGGGGGGTAGTTGGGTCCATTGAGAGTGTGTCCTTGAAGGGTCTTATGGGAGCACAGTCCCTCAGATTCTCTCTGCCTCCTTGCTCATAATGTAAGTAGTTTGCTCCACCACAAGCTCTAGATATGATGTTCCACCCTCCCCAGAGCCCAAAGCCACGAAGTCATCCAATCTTAGACTGAAACTTTCAGAGTTCGAGCTAAAAAAAAAGACTTTTCTCTTTATAAGATAAATATCTCAAGTATTTCCTTATAGTAATGTGAAACTGACTGATATAGCTACCACTCTTTGAGGTTAATGATATTGAGCTTTTTCTATTGATGAATAGTTTTGCTGGCCCTTTTCTATTTTATTTGGAAAAGAATTCTCTAAAGTAGTTTTATTCTTTCATCTTAATGTAGATATTCCTAAAATGTATATGCAAGCTCCCTGATTCATATTCTCACAAAATTTGAGATTAATGATTCATACATTTGTGTGCCCAGTAGTGCTCAACTTAGGTTATATTTATCCTCCCTGAGATTCAGTGTGACGCTATCTGTAAAAGAAGAATATGGTCTTCTCTGGCTACACCTTATTGTGAGATTGTGGCAATAAGGTAAATGAGGTAATGTGTACTAATATATCTCAGAAAAAAAAATCCCATACTCAAGAGAGAAGGCATTATTGCTGTTTCCATTTTCTCCTTATGTGAACTGAAAAATTTGCTCAAGTACCTACCTGCTCTTTACTTCTGTGTGGATAACACGGTGGCTAAACTTGTTACCTTTTGTCATGGAGATTTCATTCTACTATTTCTTAATAATATTGACATTACAGTGAATAAAATAAAAAGGTCTCTTTTGTGATGTGTTTTCATAAAGATCTTAAAACAACCTTGAAAATACTCAGATTCTCATTTCTCAATGACATGAACACAATGATTAATTTTATATGTTGAATCCGTTTATCTGGAACTTGAAATCCCACCCCAAGGGAAGATTAGTCAGTTCAAAACTTTCTAAAAAGACAAAGAATTCAAAAGGGAAAGGATGCCCAGGAGCCATTAAGTTGTTCTGTATCTATTTACAGTATTGTTTGTACTGGATAGATGATTACAGAAAAGCCAAGTAACATAAAAAGAGAAATCCTTAATTCTACCCTGGAGACAGGCAGAGCAAAAGATGAACAGCTGAACACACAGAGCTGGGAACTTCATGTATACTTTACCTTGCAGTAAATCAGGGAGATAAAGGACTTGAAATAAATGTTCCCATGAATTCCAAAAACTAAAAGCTGTGTGCTGGCTTATGATGACAACCAAGTGGAAACCCACTGGAATCCTACATTAAATGACTTCCCATACCCCCTGCCCATGAAAACCAATAACTTTGTATTTGTACTGAGAGGGATATAAGAAAGAGTTTAAAAGATGCATTCATTTTCATGACTGAGTTTTCTTAGGATTTTGCCAATATGGCACCTACCAATGGAAAGCTGTGGTTGCTTAACCTGTGCTCTCAAGAAATTATCACCATTTCTGTTCCTTGCTATAGACTTTTGCATTATGGGAAGATTATGACAGATGTTCAAACTTCCAGATCCATTAATCTTACTTTCTGAGATCAGCAGGCAACTTCTTAACACACATATATTTACACTTACACTTTTCTTAAACATCCACAGTGAAGAACCCATTAAAGAAACATTTCTTCCAGCCGTGATGATTATCTTGGGGTTTGAAGACAGACACCTTTTAAAGTCTGGGGGTACCATATGCAGGTAACATCTACATAGAAGGATAGCCAAACAGGGTGTAGAAAACTTTGCTTAAAATAACGACATACTTCAAAGCTGGGTATATTTTATTTATAAATAACATTTTGATACAGAGGTTAATAATATGTTTGTTCCCAAAGATCCCCAGTTTATTAGTACAGATACATCAGAGAAGAAAGATAACATGTTTTTATGCTTCTGTATTGTGACAGAAAATAAACAAGGCTGGTTATATTCAGACATCTTAGTAGACATAGTGCCAGATAACTTGCAAACTACAAGCATTGGGTTTGTTTCTTATTTGTGGGCATCCCTGAATAATTTTCCTGAATACTTTCATTTCCACTATCTACACTATGCAATTATATCACATCATTCATGTGCCTTTACATTAACTTAAATTTATTCTTCAACTGTCATGAGTTCTGCCAAAAAATATTTAGGGATAAGCAATATTTAAATTTAACCTCCTTTACTTCCCCTCCATTCTCTCCCTGAATTAATTTATTCCATCTGTGCCATAAGGGAAACAGCCTAACACAATTGATAAAGAGATTGTTTTCCTTTATCTACTCTTATCCATCATATCCATCTGGAAAGTGTAACATACTGAAATTATAGACATATACTTAACGTTAGTCACATTTTATATGCCGATTCTTTGCTTTTTAAAAAAGAATTATCAAACGTAGACACTGATACTCTGAAGCCTCAAAGTTTTAACAAAGGTCAAATACTTTTTCTGCCCCCAATAGCACCATCTCTGTAACTTTTGTATAGCACAGGAAATGATATTCTCAAAGACTCCATAAAGATGGGCAGGAAGTCATCCTGTCCAAAGAGAGTTGGCTCAAACACACACACACACACACACACACACACACACACTTCCCGGAAATGCCTTCATAATACTGTTTGTGTATGCTTCTTCCGTATTTGCATGCTTCATAGAATCAAAAAAAATGCCTTTCCCATTTTAAGCATTATTCATTTCTGATCTGTATGATTTTCATAATCTCAAAAAGCAATTCTAATTTGTGCATGGGAAACGGAAAGTTTCTATGGTTAGGTATTAATGAGAATGCATAGCCTGATATGACACAGTTTTTATAAGGCCCCAAGGTTCCTTCCAGGGATGCTGCAGTCCATAATCAGACCAAAGGCTAAGTAGGTCCAAGGCGAGCAGCAGTTTAGGGATTCGGAGCTGCAGTTCTTCTCCACTGGACTGTGGAGGAATCAAGCAGTCAGTGGCTCATGCATGTAGACTCACCTGTCTTATTTTATTTAATCTTGAGATGAGAAAGGAAACCCATAATATTCCCAGTGGATTTCTGCCCAGAAGGCAAATGTCAGCTATGAAACAATTTAGAGAACTGGGATTAAAGGAATGAGTTCTTAAAAGGCCTATATTCCTTTTTTAAAAAAAAATAATAATATAAATACATGCTTTACTGAGCTTCTGAACTCTAAGAATTTGCTTTTGCTTAATTTGATCTTGGACCTGAACTCATTTCATAAAAAATATATGAAAGGGGCTAAGACTCTATTTCTTCACTCCAGCAACATCTTTTAAAAATATTTATAAAGAACACAGAACTCTACTCAGTATTTCATTTAAAATAACAAAAGGCTGATGGTTGAAATCACAGAAAGAATGCATAAAAGGCAGAAGTAAATAAACAAGACTTAGAACTCTTTAAAAAAAAAAGAATTTAAAAACTAAATTGTGCTGCAAAACTACTTTTGCAATTACAGTGTCAGGTATGGCCCCACTCTGTCTCAGAGGCACTGTATAAATATGAACAGAATCATCTGATGCACTTTTTGAAAACACTGCTTCTCAGCCAAGGGCTAGCACAAATTCATCCTACGGCTAGGTGTCCAGAACACATGTTGGTTTGCTTATTGGCGACATTTTGGCAACGCATCCTATACTAACAGGAAGGCTAGAGACCAAGCATATGACAAGAGCCAAACCCACCACCCTGTTACTTCTTTTCGTGCTTCTTGGTTAACTCCTGCACACCCAGCTGGCTGCGGCCCCGGGCGTCGCTGTTCTTGTCTTCCCGGGGCTGACTCTCCTGGGAGACCTGCTGCACAGCCTGTAGGATGGCATTCTGCACAATCTGTTTGCTGGCATTCTGCAGTTTCACCTCCTCAGGCTCATTTCCAGGCTTCTCACCTAACCAAAAATATAAAAGGGAGGTGGGAAGAAGAGAAATCAATTTGGAGAACTGTGACAGAGACGAATAGAGGAAAAAAGTGCTGGAGTAGCCCAGTCACAGTGAGGAGCCCTCGTAGCACATGCTGCTATTGCCTCCCCTTCCTCATTTCCAACAGAATCTCCATACCGTTCCCCCATGATGCACCTGAGTTCATCTTCTCACCATCCCAGAATCCTCATTTGCGAATGGTGGTCGCCAGACAGTCCCTGGCCACAAAAGACCCCTGGGAAAGTTTGGGGAAAGGGACAGGCTCATGCTCCACTGGCCTTTTGCACTTCCCCCTTAATTCCTGTGTGGTTTGCAAACCCAGGGCTGGCAGGGGCTGTGCTATCTTGCAGTAAGTGTGGAGATGAATGTCAATATTCTGAGGATGGTTTGGAGAAAAACAAAAAAGCCCAATTTCAAAGGCATCATTGAGCATCTACACAAGCCCTGGACCATGTTTGCAAGGAAAACAATCCCCCTTTTTTAATGCATATTATATAGATTCTATGTTATCTGCAGCCAAACACATGCCTGATGGGTATAACCTCATGGTGCTGAAGAAGAACAGACAATCCCCTACACCACATCAAACTCAGCTCTGCTCACATAATGTGTCAGAAGGACTGAACCCATTCATCAGAGCTGTCCTCTGAGATCTAGAACAGGGCAGGAAAACTCCTTCCATATAGGACCAGTGATCTATCAGGCTTGTGGGCCATATGCTCTGAAATAAATGCTTAACTCTGCTGCTGTAGCATAAAATCAGCTATAGATTGTAGGTAAATAAATGTGTGTGACTGTGTTCCAACAAAATATTATTCATTAAAAAAAAAAAACAGGTTGCAGGTAGATTTGGCCTATCAGCTATAGTGTATCAATTCTGATCTAGAAATGGTGGGAAATGTCTAAAGAAAAAGTGAAATAGTGTACTCAACACTAACCAACACTTTCTATTTTTCCTTAATTAAAAACAAAACTTTGCTGGGTGCGGTGGCACACTCCTGTAATTCCAGTGACCCAGGAGGCTGAGGCAGGAGGATTGCAAATTAGAGGGCAGCCTCAGCAGTTTAGCATGGCCCTAAGCAACCTAGGGAGGCCCTGTCTTGAAATTTTAAAAAATAATAATAATAAAAAAGGCTGGAGATGTAGTTCAGCGGAAGTTTATTTAGTGAAAATTCTAGAAAAGGGCTTTTTTAAAAAACAGGCGAATAAAACCTGTTGCCCTCTTCCGATTTTACTGCTCACAACTCTGACCCAATAATTGTCATTACAAGGCCGCTGAGAGTCCTAAGGAAATCCTTAGAATAGAAACCATTTTCAGGGGGGTTGGAAGAAAAAGTTAGAAGGAACCTGGCATTCCCATGACCAAATGGCCACCAGATCAATTCTCAGTTGTCCACTTCCAGGCCCCCTTCACATTACAAAATCATTCCTTGTTTAGGGCAACTGTTATTTTAGATTTTGTTTTATTATGCAGCACACTTAACAATAACGCATACAGGGGCGAATGATGGTGAGTCTAACATTTGAGTGCAGTGCAATCCTGAAATTTTCCTATTCCACCTCTTTACATTTATGGTGATGAAAAGAATGTGTACTGCTCCTTATTCAAAGTCACCTTTTCAGATATTTCCTCTCTTCAGATACATTGCTACCTTAAAATATATCTAAAGTTGGGGGAGGGGTGTGGTTTTTCACCAGGATCGATTTGTAACAATGGAAATTATACATCCATGAAAAGAACACTGTAAGGGAATATTGAGTCCTTCTGGAACATCAGACAGCTCTCATCCCTTTAGACAGACAGCTGTCATTCATTTTGCATTCCGGTCCATCCCCAGGGGGTTTATCTTACCCTCTAGTGCACAATGCAAGATTAACCTATTCAAAACCAAGAGCAGTATGGAAAAGGATAAAATGAGCCACCCACACCACGCCAAGCCAGGAGGAAATCCAGACAGGCTGGAACTCCAGAGGGGCAAAGAAGAAGGCTTTGAATGCTCTCTGTAGAAAAAGAGTGGACAGTAGTGAATGGCAATATTATGGGACCCTAGGGGACAGCTATTAAGAATACAGGTTTGAAACGCTTCAGAGTTGTGCTTAAGTCCTTTCTGCCACATCTGTCACACAGTCTTGAGCAAAACACTGCTAAGCAGGTTTGCACATCTGTAAAATGGGCAAGCAGGACCTCTGTAGTATGGTTGCTAGAGAAGGAAGTGACATCACAACTATTCAGAACTCTGTGTGGGTCCTGACACATCAAAATCACTTAGTAAGTGACCACATGGTGTACTAGTTAGGGTATAGACTGAGCTGTTGTAACAGAGGCACTCAAAAATAGCTCAGCTCACACAGGGAGAGAAGTTTATTGTTCTCTCACGTGACAGTGCAGAAGTAATCTGTGTGTAAGTGGCTTGCTCCAGAGGTGATCTCAGGACTTCTTCCTCCTCTCATCTTACTGCCATGCTATTCCCCCCAATAGGACCCTCATTTACGTGAGTGAAGCTGGTCAAGCAATATCCTAGTGGAGTTGGAAGGGAGCAAAAAAAAAAAAAAAGGAAAAGGACAAACAATTTCCTGTTGGGGGGGAATGCACTGGGGATTAAACCCAGAGGGGCTGGTTACTGAGCCACATCCCCAGCCCGTTTTATTTTTTATTTAAGAAAGCATCTTGTTACATTGTGTAGGGCCTTGCTAACTTGCTGAAGCTGGACTTGACATTGCAATCCTCCTGCAACAGCTTCCTGAGTCTCTGGGGTTACAAGAGAGTGCCACCACACCCGGCAGGAAATTTCCTTTTAAAGATTTGTCAAAGAAGTTGCAATCGTCAGTCAACTCCCATTCTATAGAGTGAAACTTAGTCATCTGGCCACACCTACATACAAGGGAGGCTAGGAAATATTGCTGTTGCTGGGTAGCTGTGTGCACTAACTGAAACTTATGGTGTTCTAATGCCAGAATGAAGAATGACAGATTTTTTTAAATTACTTCCATGCAAGGGCCAGGTTTACATTGAAAAAGAAGGACATATACTTACAACGACTTAAATCTGATATTAAGGGAGCTCTTTCTACTACCACTATCTAGCATAAGTGTGTAGACAAACAAACAAGAAGTTCTGAAGACTCATGCTTGCTCCAAGAAAGAGTATCGAAGTCAAACTGCAAGTGTCTTCATTCTAGAACGTTCCTATTCTCTAGCTATTTTTCTGTCATGGAACAGAGGAAGGAAAAGTCCAGGGACAAGAATAAGCTGAGTCTTTAATAAGAGAAAAAGAGGAAACTCTATTCCAAGTTCAACTGGGATCTGATATTTGACCTAAATTATCATGTTCTCATCCAACAATTATGAGTAATAAATGTATATAAAAGTCAACGGCAGTCTATACCAGGCTATACCCAGGGCACCACAGAGTGACAGGAGGTTGACTTAAGCAATCTTCCCTCTGTGTTTAACCCTCTTGTCCTCATTTCCATTTTGTTCTAGGCCATCAATATTCATCCATCTTCAGTGGAGGATGTGGGACAGAGGGTGGCAAGTGGCTGGCAGCACAAGAAGAGAGGAATAAAGACAAGGAGAGACACCACCATGCACTTAAGAGACAATAAAAACAAAATAAAGAATTATACAAACCACAGGTATGTACTTATTTGTGTAGACTCTTGTGCATTCGAGGAATCACACTCTCTTCTATACCTTAAGCTATAGCACAAGAAAGAGGGAAAGGGCTACAAGGATACGAATGTCATAGCTGATTTTTTTAAATGGTACCGGGCATTGAACCCACAGGCACTTAACCACCGAGCCACATCCCCAGTCCTTTTTACTTTTTATTGTAATACAGGGCCTCGCTAAGTTGCTTGGGGCTTTGCTAAGTTGCTGAGGCTGGCTTTGAATTTGCGATCCTCCTGCCTCAGCCTCCCAAGCAGCTGTGATTACAGGTGTGCACCACTGCTCCTGACTGCGTACCTGACTTCTTAACTGAGGCTCACAATACAATTCAGAAGTCAGCAGAATCCAGTAGAGCTCCAGTCATTGCATTGTCTAGATTTCCCTCTCCCCTGAGAGGGCCTCGACTCTCCATCTGCTACTGCCCCCAAACAACCCCTCCTGTTCTTCTGGAGTCACCCTGACTTCATGGAATTTACTTACCCTTTTCTCTACTTGTTTATGACTCGCTGTGTTTAATGATTTTACATGCTTCCCTCTCCCAGAGGACATCCCAGCTAAGGTTCTGCTTTCAACTGATGCTCACATATCTTCTGCTAGAATTCTTAAGAGAGTCTGCTGGCCTCTTACCATCATCCCTGCAAACTGCCCTAAATCATGCCAGCCATGCCTCAAGTCAGCTGCCACTGAGTGCCTTTAGCTCATGCTGGCTCCATCAGCTGTGGCTAGAGAGGTCAGGTCCTGGGGTGAAAGTAGAGATCCTTAGGAAGAAGGACCCACCCATGAGCCCCCTGCCCCCAAGAAGCACTGTAGGCAGAGCAAGGGTTCACAAGATAGGTTTGGGGCAGTATAATACCAACATGTGATCCAAGCCTTTGACTGAAAGGACATGGTATTCATGAAAATCCTGGTGGGGACCCAACCCTTCACAAAAGCACAGGGTGAGGAAGCGCAACCGGACAGGAGGCAAAGCCAGCCACGGAGTTCCTTGGAGTGTGGCCATTTACAGGCATTCCACTTACTTCAGGGTAATGAATCACCTACACATCGTAGGTGGCCTATTGCCTAGTTTTAAAGGATGCAAATGTCCTCCAGCCTAATTAGCATTTACATCATTTTCATATTTCACAATTATGACAAATCAATGTAATTAGCTTTGAACCCTAACTACCCAATATAAATACACTGAAGTCAAGGATGTGGCATAACTAAATTTGTCTTCAGTGCCATTCCACATAAAATTATTACCCACCATCCCTACCCCCAGGCACCCATATGGTTCTGCTTCCCAGTGACCAGCCAG